AGTTTGATGTATTACAGATGAAGGAAGCACGAAAAAAGAAGCGAGTGCATAAGCAATCAATCGGGCTCGAATCAATGGTGGAATATTCACTTGGGCTAGGAGGTTTCTTTGGGCCGGGCTTATACCGTGGGACACAATTGGATTAGAGGGATAGAGAATTGGAGCGGGACACACGCAAAGGAGGAGGCAATTTTTGGGCTAGCAGGGAATTCTCCTGGGACACGAAATTCTTTGGAGGGGCCATTTTTTGGAATTCGGGGGACACGCAAGCGAGAGGGAATTCTCCTGGGACACGAAATTCTTACATGCGCTTTTTCGGCAGGCTATTTTCCTTGAATTTTGAAGGCTTTGGATCACGGATTCAGCCTGAGGTTATCTCTCGCCGATGATTAAGTCTATTAGGCACCGATTCGGGCTAATTTGTTCCGGGCCTGTTTTTGACATTTTTCAACGGGGTACCATCACATATTTCGGGCAATTTTATGGAATTGTCATTTTTGTTGGATTTTGGAGGCTACTTCACGGATTCAGCTTGAGGTGATATGGGGCTATTGTCCACCGATGATGAAGTCAATTAATCGCCGATTTGGGCGAAAAATGTTCCGGGGGCATTTTCGTAATTTTCCGCGCGCTTTTTCGGAAGGCTATTTTTCTTGGATTTTGAAGGCTTCAGATCACGGATTCGTCCTGAGGCTATCCCTCGCCGATGATTAAGTCTATTACGCACCGATTCGGGCTAATTTGTTCCAGACCCGTTTTTGGCATTTTCCAAAGGGGTACCATTACAGATTTCGTGCGATTTTATGGAATTGTCATTTTTGTTTGATTTTGGAGGTTACAGGTCGCGGATTCGGCCTGAGGCGATCTGGGGCTATTGTCCACCGATCATGAAGTCCATTAATTGTCGATTTGGGTGAAAAATGTTCCGGGGGCATTTTCATATTTTTCCGCGCGCTCTTTTGGAAAGCCATTTCCCTTGGATTTTGAACGCTTCGGATCACGGATTCGGCCTAAGGCTATCCCTCGCATATGATTAAGTCTATTAGGCACCGATTCTGGCTAATTTGTTCCGGGCCCGTTTTTGGCATTTTCCAAAGGGGTACCATCACAAATTTCAGGCGATTTTATGGAATTGTCATTTTTGTTGGATTTTGGAGGCTACATCGCGGATTCGGCCTGAGGCGATCAAGGGCTATTGTCCACCGATGATGAAGTCAATTAATCGCCGAATTGGCCGAAAAATGTTCCGGGGGACATTTTCGTAATTTTCCGCGTGCTTTTTTGGAAGGCCATTTTCCTTGGATTTTGAAGGCTTCGGAACACGGATTCGGCATGAGGCTATCCCTCGCCGATGATTAAGTCTATTAGGCACCGATTCGGGCTAATTTGTTTCGGGCCCGTTTTTGGCATTTTCCAAAGGGGTACCATCGCAGATTTCGGGCGATTTTATGGAATTGTCATTTTTGTTGGATTTTGGAGGCTACAGGTCGCGGATTCGGCCTGAGGCGATCTGGGTCTATTGTCCACCGATGATGAAGTTGATTAATCGCCGATTTGGGCGAAAAATATTCTGAGGGTATTTTCGTAATTTTCCTCGCGCTTTTTCGGAAGGCCATTTTCCTTGGATTTTAAAGGTTTCGGATCATGGATTCGGCCTGAAGCTAACCCTCGCCGATTATTAAGTCTATTAGGCTCCGATTCGGGCTAATTTCTTCCGGCTCGTTTTTGGCATTTTCCAAAGGGGTACCATCACAGATTTCCGACTATTTTATTGTCATTTTTGTTGGATTTTGGAGGCTACAGGTCCCGGATTCGGCCTGAGGCGATCTGGGGCTATTGTCCACCGATGATGAAGTCAATTAGTCACCGATTTGGGCGAAAAATGTTCCGGGGGGCATTTTCGTAATTTTCAGCGCGCTCTTTTGGAAAGCCATTTCCCTTGGATTTTGAAGGCTTCGGATCACGGATTCGGCCTGAGGCTATGCCTCGCAGATGATTAAGTCTATTAGGCACCGATTCTGGCTAATTTGTTCCGGGCCCGTTTTTGGCATTTTCCAAAGGGGTACCATCACAAATTTCGGGCGATTTTATGGAATTGTCATTTTTGTTGGATTTTGGAGGCTACATCGCGGATTCGGCCTGAGGCGATCAGGGGCTATTGTCCACCGATGATGAAGTCAATTAATCGCTGATTTGGGCGAAAAATGTTCCGGGGGGGCATTTTCGTAATTTTCCGCGTGCTTTTTCGGAAGGCCATTTTCCTTGGATTTTGAAGGCTTCGGAACACGGATTCGGCATGAGGCTATCCCTCGCCAATGATTAAGTCTATTAGGCACCGATTCGGGCTAATTTGTTCCGGGCCCGTTTTTGGCATTTTCCAAAGGGGGTACCATCACAGATTTCGGGCGATTTTATGGAATTGTCATTTTTGTTGGATTTCGGAGGTTACAGGTCGCGGATTCGGCATGAGGCGATCTGGGTCTATTGTCCACCGATAATGAAGTTGATTAATCGCCGATCTGGGCGAAAAATATTCCGAGGGTATTTTCGTAATTTTCCTCGCGCTTTTTCGGAAGGCCATTTTCCTTGGATTTTAAAGGCTTCGGATCATGGATTCGGCCTGAAGCCGTTTTTCTTGGATTTTTGAAGGCGAAAAATGTTCCGGGGGTTATTTTTCGTAATTTTCCACGCGCTTTTTCGAAATGTCATTTACCTTTGATTTTGAAGGCTTTGGATCACGGATTCGGCCTGAGGCTATCCTTCACCGATGATTAAGTCTATTAGGCACCGTTTCGGGCTTATTTGTTCCGGGCCCATTTTTGCCATTTTCCAAAGGGGTACCATCACATATTTCGCGAGATTTTATGGAGTTGCCATTTTTATTGGGTTTTGGAGGCTACAGATCGTGGATTCGGCCTGAGGTGATCTTTAGATATTCTCCACCGATGATGAAGTCTATTAATTTTTGTTTTGGGCCAATTTTTTTCATAGGTCATTTTCGTAATTTTTCGTGTGCTTTTTTTGAGAGATCTTTTTTCATAAATTTTGAAGGTTACGGATCAATGATTTCGCGTGAGGTTATCCTTCACCGATGATTAAGTTTTTTGAGCACCTATTTGGGCTTATTTGTTTAGAGTCCAGTTTTGGCAGATTCCAAACCTTCACAAATTTCAGGCGATTTTTTGGAATGACCATTTTCGTATGATTTTGGAGGCTACAATTCACGGATTCGACCTGATGCGAACGAGGGCTATTCAACTCCTATGATGAAGTCAATTAATCGCCAATTAGTGCGTTTTTTTCGAAAGACCATTTTTATTTGAAGGTTGCGGATTAAGGATTCGACTTGAAGCTATCCTTCACTTGTTAATAATCTAATAACTAATAATAATGTTCTTTAGACCAGAATGCATGTTTTAGATTTGTAAACTAGTCCATTGAAACAATGGTACCATTCAACAAATGATAATTACATGTATTTGGGTTAGATTGTGATAAGAGGAAGTGATTAAAACATTTCATTATTTAATAAAAAGTTAAACAATAAAATAATACTAGTTGATGTGACTCTAAGTAATAGTGCTATCGTTACTTGTTCCTTTAATAATAATAATAATAATAATAATAATTCATGAATATTGGGTTCAACTCGTTTTGACCGGATCGAATTAGGTTAAATATATATGGATTTAAGTTTGGTTGTGATAAGAGAAAATGATTAAAACATGGGTTAATATCTTATTTTGGCCCGAACTATAACCATATAATCAACTTTGGCATGTGGTTTCAGAAATTAACATCTTTGTCTCAACTATGTAGCATATAGTCTCAATTGGACCGACACATGGTTTGACCGTCAATTTGGACGGTCAACACCATTGACTGTTAGTCAACAAGCCATGTCATTGCCTAGTCAGCCTGAAAATTATTAAAAAAATCAAATTCAAATTATTTTCCTAATTATTATTATTATTTATCATTTTCAAATTAACTATAAAATAAAATTTAACATTTAAAAAATATAAAGTAAATTTTATCTTTTATCTTTTGGGACATTTGAAATTGATAAATTTTTAAAATATAATATATTTTTAAATTTTTTATTTTTTGGGTAATTTAAATAATCTATAATAATTTGATAAATTTTGGTTAATTTATAAAAATTTTCATTTCCAAATTACCAAAAAAATAGAAAATAAAATTTATTTTATGTTTTTATATTTTATTTTTGGTTAATTTGATAATAATAAATAATAAAAGTTAGGAAAATAATTTGAATTAGAAAAAATTATTTTTTGGTTTATGTTTTTTTGTATTTTCTAAATTTATAAAATTTAATATGATAATTTTTTGTTAATTTATAAAATTTGTTATTTTCAAATGTCCCAAAAGATTAAACTTAAATTTTATTTTATTTTTTTATATTTTATTTTTTGGTTAATTTGAAAATGATAAATAGTAGAAATTACGAAAATAATTTGAATTTGAATTTTTTAATGATTTTTAGGCTGACGAGGCAATGACATGGAATCTTGACTAACGGTCAACGGTGTTGACCATCTAAATTGACGATCAAACCATGTGTTGGGCCAATTGAGTTTATATGTTGCATAGTTGAGGCCGAGATGTTAATTTCTGAAACCACATGCCAAAATTGATTATATGATCATAGTTCAGACCAAAATAAGGTATTAACCCTTAAAATATTTGATTATTTAATAAAAAGTTAAACAATAAAATAATTCTAGTTGATGTGACTCTAAGTCGTTACTTGTTTTTTAATAAGATAAAATAAAATAATAATAAAATAATAATATATACAATAATAAAAAATAATAATGTAAATTATTTTTGTTTTGGTCATGTCATTATTGGAGTTTAGTCCCTAATTAAGTCAAAACAGCCTGATACAAGAGAATTACATGGCAGAGACCATCCCCTCGTAGAAAACAAAATCAAACACAGAGAACCGTTCATTGCTGTAAAAAAATAAAAAAACAATGAAATCACTCCCAGAGGACATCGTGATCGACATCCTCACTCGGTTACCGGTGAAATCCATTCTCCGATTCAGATCCGTCTCAAAGCCCTGGTCCAATCTCCCCACCACACCCCATTTCATAGCCGCCCACCTCCGCCGGTCATCCGCCGGCAACCCTCTCCTCATCGTCCACCACGGCCGTACCCTCGGCCGGAATCTCCGCGTTTCAGTCATCGACAGCACCTTCCGAACCCTCCACCGCGATTTCCCGCTGCCGGACACTGTCTTCGACTCCCGTCTGCATTCCCCTTCTATCCTGGGCTCCTGCAACGGCCTGCTCTGCATCAAGTTCACCGCCAATTTCATGCTCTGGAATCCAGCCACCAAGCAATTCGCCCTGCTACCCAACTTCAACAACCTCACATCTCCGTTAACCCGTTCTCACGGGCCGAAAGCCCAATTCATTTGCGAGAGGTTCGGGTTCGGATCCACCCCGGAGCCCGATTACAAGCTGGTAAGATTCGCCAGCGTTTTCCACGGAAAACAGGGGAGCGCCGACGAATCGGTGTGGCAGAGTCTAGAAGTCAAAGCTGCGGTCTTCTCGTGGAAGACGTGGTCGTGGAGGCCACTCGCGAGAGACAATTCGCGAATCCCCCTAGCGTATTACAACAACCCGGTGGCGGCGAACGGGAATTTGTATTGGATCGGGGAAAGCAGAGGAAGGAGGGATTTCGTGCTCGAATTCGATCTCGCCCGGGAATCGTTTCGAACAATTGACTTGCCGGAGTCTTTCGAGAGGTTTAGGATCGAGACGAGGATTAATCGTGTCCGCGAGAGTGATGCGTTCGAGGCGATGGTGATGAGCGAGAACGGGAGAGGGGTGAAAGGGATGTTGTGGGAGTCGTTAAGGAGATGTGGATGCTTCGATGGCGGCGGCGACTACAGAGGGTATTGGAATGGGGTTCGAGTTGTGTTGCAGCGGCGGGTGAACGGCGATGTGTTGGGCTTTTGCGATCCCGCCGACGGCGAGGATGGAGCTGTTTATTGTGTTGACGGTATCGGAGACCGGGTGTATGGTGTTTGCGGTTTTGTGGAGAGCTTGGTTTCGGTTCGCGGAGGCGATGAGTAAAGGAGGCCGGGCTTCGGTTCATATCGTCTCCACGAACCGGTTCGTTAATGGTGTTGTCAAGTTTAACGAGTAGCGTGATTTATCATTGAAATATAAGCTTGATATAAAAGTTTGGTCACACGTAAATAGTTTCAGTATTCACCTATTCTTGTGTTTATATATTCATGTAAATTAATGTTTATTAACGTCATATTGGTGTTTATTCGTGTTATACTAGTGGTTATTCACCTAAATAGTAATGGTTATTCACACAATTTGGTATTTATTTGCACATTTTTGTTATTTATTGACGTTGTTGTAAAACTAATTTTTAGGTTTTGTAATAATATAAAAATGAATATTGTTGTGTAGATTATTGATCAATGCAAATACAAATTATTAGGAGGAAAAAAAAGAGAGATAGTTTGGGATTTCACTTGCGTGAATAATCATAACTCTTGCGTGAATAACCAAATTATGAGAACACTCAGCAAAATAACATATACAACAATTCGTGGATTAGGTGTTGTACCTCTTAGGGCGCCACCGTTAACTAGAGTAAAGAGCACTACAACAAAACATGGCTTTGGAGGGAGAGGTTATTTGCATTTAAAAGCTACTTATTTGCTTTTGTATGTCTTTCGACGCAGATACATTATTTGTTGCATATTCCTTTGTCGCTGTTTCCTTTTAGAGACAAATATTGATGCAAATAATATCTATCTCTGATAATGGAATTGGAGACAAATATTTTTGTTGGTAATTCTATTTTCAATTCCTACGTATTTACTTTTGGAGGGAGATACATTTATTTGTAATTTTAGTTTTTGAGACAAGTGTATTTGCCTCTAATGGGTACATTTAGAGGCAAATAATTTTATCTATACATACAAATAATATGCTTTGTTAGAACATTTAAGAGACATATATAATTGTCTCTAATAGTCTTCTTTGGAGGCATATTTAATTGATATTACTTTTAACGTTTGGAGACAATTATCATTGCTTGTTATACAGAAGATGGAAAACATTTGTAATTTGACCCAAAATTTGACTATTAATTATATCCATAGACATGAAATCCATCCAGCACCAAATTCTTACAAAAATAAAATAGAGAAATGTATGTAGTTGTTCCGTCAACAACGACAAAGTCGGAATATGAAACGAAAATTGTCCATTAAACTAAGATAATCTTCACCATAAAGGTTTAACAACGCCGGTCTTCTTCACCTATTGCACATGAACAACATATATATAAACCAAATGAGCTACGTACCATAGGAGTAAATGAAATTCACAAAAGCTTTCTTCAATTAACTTACAAAGCGTGATGGCCAAGCGATCGACTCTGCTACCGCATCTCCAATAGTTTGAAAGCTTGCATATGGTCGAACTAAGGGCTCATCAGGCTTAATTGCAACTTCAACAAATATTTCATAGAAACCTTTTCCCAATTCTTGATCCCCTACACGACAATGTGGATTTTTGCTCACAATACCTCCTCTTGCTACCTCAACATCAGGATCATGTAAACTGTGCAAAATAACTTTGTAGCAATCTTTTTTGATTGTGCAGGCGTGTCTTTTTTCTATCAAATATAAAAGTTTGAGTTATGGAATAGTAGGAAACCTTTCATTTGTCTATTTCCAGTAGCAACAGCAAAATAATAAAGAGAAAATTCTCACTTGATATGAGCTTATCATGTAATCGAAGAATGTATCATTATTCCCTCGTGCCTGCACATCATTAGCTTCCACACCGGAAGAGCCCCCTTTAGACGAGTTGTTTCGAAGCATAGGCAAATAAACATCAACCATACTAACCTGATAAAACAGAATAGAAAATCATCAAGGTAACCACACTAGAATTATGATTTCAGACAATTAATAATTTATATACAAACTTACATCATCTAGAGCTGGAGTTTCAGGTACTACAGTTGATGATTGCAACATGGGAAGTATTGGGCCACTTCCTAACTCATCAGAATTCTCTTCAACAATAAGATTATCATTCTACAGCATAGAGAAATTACAATTACATAATTGTTTATCAATATCAAAACTATGAAACAATACACTAGAGGAAATGAATGGGTCATGGCAGCGTACCTCATCATTTGGTGAATCTATATTGTCATTCAAATTCATATTTGGATTGTTCTTTTGTAGCAGAGCGAGGACTTTGTTCAATTTGTCTTCCACCCTTTGTGCTCTCTCTTCAGCGTTGTTTTTGGCCTTCAGTGCTTTCTTCATAATTGAGTAACGAGAATCCCTCACGCCCCATTTGGGTCCTAATCCATATGCTATCGAGTAATAAGGTTTGTCTTCTAGCACTTGTGATAATATGTCATTTGGTCCAGAACAATCATGTGGAGTTGAAGATTCTGTTTGCATTTTTTCCTTCACTTTGTCCTGAAACCAACAACTTGTATACTTCATATGGGACATAAAAAGGGAAATAAATAGTATTGAAGAAATTCATTAATACTTACAATGATCTCAGCAACGTAACTTTATCATTAAGTGGCTTCCCATCTGGACGTACATGGCTTAAAATATAAAGTTCGGCCCGAGTCGGCTCCGACTTGTCTGTTTTTTTTGCTTTCTGGACAGTACATACATTACATATATACATATCAGTTAGCAAGAACAAAATCATCATACTACTTATAGTGATATTCTTACTTACCACCTCTTCCTTGAAACGAGCATAACTCTTCCTCCCTAGTGTATGAGGGGATATCATGTTCATTCTATTCTGTTTACCCACTGCTGAACGTTTCTATAGAGAGAATATGATTAAGAAACGTTAACCCAAAATAAATATAAATAAGCTTGCTACGAAAGAGTTATCGAGAAACTACTCACCGCAGCTTTTCCCGTGCTCCAAAATTCTAACAACCATTGCCAATCTTCATCACATCTACTCTTTTATCCTTCTTTTTCTTGTTAACCCATTCAGATTTCACAAATGACTTAAAACTCCCCCACTTCTTATTCAAAGATGTCAAGACCCAATCTTGAAGAAACACGTCCACGTCAAACTTTTCCTACAATTATTACTTCAATAAAAGTAAAAATAAAGCTCACATTAATGGATTCAGACAATACTAAGACATATTACATGTACCATCTTCCACATGGTAATCTTGTAATGTTTGGGCATAAGCCTCCAATCCTCATAACGTAGAGGTGCAAATACTGCTGTGCGTGCTATAGTACCAAGAAAAGTTGCCAATTTTGTTGCACCCTCTCCCGTGGGCTGCCCAAGATCGTTAATTGTAACTTGAATCCGCTCACCTGCTTGCATAGCCCAAATTGGCATGCACATTGTTGGACCTCGTGTGTTTTTCTTAGGGTCCTGAGCATCTTCTCTTGTAGTAACAATAGTGGAGGTATTCTGATCAGAGGCTGCGCGTGGCCCTGCTGTTGACTTGGATTTCTGGAGAGACATGCTTCACTGCTCATAACAAGTGAAAAGAAAATGAAAAGACAAGATGCAAACTGAAGGAATGAAAACAAAAGGAAACGCAGGAACAAAACAATAAACAAATTGATATAAACCCGCCCTGTTCACCAAAACAATAAACGCAGGCGGCAGTTTGGAACAAAACAAATTTATATATATTAACCATCATGTTACCAGCAAATATATATACAATTTCCATGGCTGCCAATATATATACAATGTAATGTTACCAGCCAATAAGAATTACCTGCTGCATAAGCTGATCGGGTTCCCGCTCCCCTCCGATGACTACGTCAAGGACTGCAGAATGGAGCTGTGGGATATCTGGAAGCAGTTTGGAGGGACCCACGAAGAAGAAGACGACAGAGACGAGAAGAACGATCTCTACTTCTTCACGCCGCTCAAGAGGCGAACCGCAACCGGGCAAAGAATTGACCGTAGCGTCGGGTCCAACGGCGGGGCTTGGCAAGGGGAAGACTCCGGCAAGGAGTCGCAGACCCTCGACGGCGCCTTTTGTCGTACTTCCTTGTTGTATGAGGTTTGCTGCAAGGAATGATGGGGGATACGAGTGAAAGGCTTGGGTTTCGGTTTTGTTCAAGGGTTCACGGTCACAGGGAAGGCAAACAGTCACACGAGTTTGGGATTTTTATTTTTTTTTTGCCTTGCAAAACTTTTTACTGCGCGCTCTTTAGGTTTTAGAATTGCGAACCGAACCAAAATTTAAGTCCCACCCGCCAAAATGTGAGAGAGAAAAAAGCTTTCTTCCTTTTTTTTCGCTTTCAATTTTCTGACTTATATTTATTATCTTTAATTAACTTTATGTATAATCACTTTAAGCAGCAATTGTTTCTGTTCCTAATTGTAAAACTTAGTTCATTTAATTATAAAGCATTTATATTTCTCTCTAAAAGCATTTCATTTGTCTCTGTATAACAACACTATATGTAACATTTGTATTTGTCTCTAAAAGTTGTTAGATTTGTTTCTATATAACTTAAGTTTAGGATACACTTATATTTGCTTCTAAAACTATTATTTTCTGTAAATAAAAAATTCCTATTATGAAATAGAGACAAATAATATGAGATAGAGAGACAAATAATACATTTGCGGCCATAAATTAGATATAGAGACTAATGCACTATTTGTTTCTAATTATTTGTCTCCAAAGCCAAGTTTTCTTGTAGTGGAGTCTGTTGGATGAATTTTATTGGATGTCTGGTCTGAAGTGCAACCCACAGAAGTGTGAAGTTTTCTTTGGTGGTCAAGCAATCCAATACAAAGCGAATGCTCTCCTTTTTACTGGGTTTCGAGAGGGTCACTTGCATGTCCGATATCTTGGTGTGCCTTTGATCTCTGGGAAGTTTACGAGCAGGGAGTGTGCTGTATTGGTGGATAAATTGACAAGCCGGATCAGAGCATGGAGAGCTAGCAAGTTGTCTTATGCAGGCCGTCTACAATTGATTTCTGCTGTGCTTTACTCTCTATGGTCTAATTCGAAATGGTTGCTAATATATGTATACGACACGTGTTGGTTTTTGTCTTTTCGTGATTGACATTAATGAAAACGAGAACGTAGTTACAAACTATCTATACGTTCCCTCCACGAACCGGAACAAGACTATGCACAAAACTGCCGACTCCATAGACGCGACCCATAAGGCCATCGAAGCGACGAACTGCTTTGCTCGCCACCGGATCGAACAAGTAGAGATTATCCATGTTTCTTCCACGTGCTTTCACAACATGAACCCTACTATTCCAGTACACTCCGAAACAACCCTCATCTTCTCGATGAATATCGTACCCATCAAACCAACCGCATCGGAACATAAACTCCCACGTTTCCCCACTCAAGTCCATCCCGTTCTCGCCGATCACTACTGCCTCCAGATCATCCTCATCATCGTACCTGGTCGAATAATCCAGGTAACTCTTGAACACCGCGATCCTCGTATCCATGTCGAACCTCATCAACGATCCAGCGCCGTCGGGCCTAGGATCATCGGCGGGGAAGTCTATGGTCCGAAACGAATCGGTGGCGAGATCGAATGCAAGAATGAAATCCCTCGTCCCCTTCCTTCTTGCCAGCCAGTACAGATGGCCGTTTGCGGCCACCGGATGGTCGTAGTGAGCAGCCGGAATCCGGGCGTCTTTCAGTTCCCTCCACGACCAGCGCTTCCACGAGAACACCACGGCCTTCACTTCTAGATCTTCCCATATCACCTGATGTCACAGTCGGTGAACCTAGGTTAACGGGAGGTGTGTCAAAGGGAATTAAACACCTCTACGTCGTCGGTGTGAAAAGTTCATATTTCGTCGTTAAAAAAATTTGAAACTGGCACACCTCCAAAAGTTGTAATCGAAATATATATTGTAATTGCAACTTTTTACTATTAAATAAATAAAAAATGATATCAGGATCGACAAATTTTTCAATTATTATTGAGAACTATGCCTCAAAACTAGAGGTAGCAATTCTCAATCTAATCCACCAACCAATTAATCTAATCCATTTAAATCCAATCTATTTGATCTAAATTCAATTGGATTTGTGGATTCATTGATCCATGAATCCAAATGACAACTTACGATTTGGTACCTATACTTTTTATATTTACATTTTGGTACCCAAAATTTAATTTTTTATACGAAATATCATTGGAAAATTACTTTTTGGTACGTAAATTTTTTCATAATGACATTTTAGTACCTAAACTTTTCACATTTCACATATTGATCCTTGATTGAGGATGTCATTTGAATTCATGGATAATCTACCAATCCACTTGATCCAATCCATGAATCCATCAATCCATTTGATCCATGAATCCACCAATTCATAAATCAATTAATTTACTACCTCTACTCAAAAAAGTGGTAAATATATTTCACAAACCTCTCTTAATATAAAAATCTGTTGGCCCGTGAAAAATAGTGAAATTGTGTTCCCTGTAAATGATATTTTTTATTTTTTTATAATTTTATTTTTATCGACCGACACGGAATTCCCAATTACCTGATCCTCGCTGTTCCACTCCTTGTAGTAGAAGCTGGCGAATTTCACCAGCTTGTAGTCCTCGTTTCGGGTACTGAACCCGAACCCGAATCTCTCCCCGATGGCGACGAACCTCGTCACGTGAGAGTACGGCGACCCGAGATCCCGGACGGGAACCCACGCGAACTGCTTGGTCGCCGGGTTCCAAAACGCCGACTTGCCGGTGCCGTATTGAACGCAGAGCAGCCCGTTGCAGGAACCGGCGACGGATGCGGAGAAGTCGCCGTATCTCGCGACGGGCACCGGCACGTCCCGATGAAGGATCGCGAAGCTCTCGTCCAGCACCGAGATCTTGAGGTGCCCGAGGGCCAAGCCGTGGCGGACGATGAGCATAGGGCTGCGGGCGGCGGAGCGGCGGAGGTGGGCGGCGATGAATCGAGGCGTTGTGAGGAGAGCTGACCAGTGTTTCGAAACGGAGTTGAATCGGAGGATAAATTTTACTGGGAGTCGGGTGAGGATGTCGATTAGGATGTCTTCGGGAAGAGATTTCATGGGAGATAATGGAGATAATGAAGATGAAGCCATCATAGGGATCATCTACTGGATTTCATCTCTGGTTTGCATAAACAGTTCTATGATGGTTAATATATGCACATACTAATACGCGTCGGCTTTTGTCGTTTCATGATTGGCGTTGATGAGAACGTAACAATTGACGTTATTACGTTAACTATATATTCTTGACAAACTTGGATTTGACTTGTGTTCTGGCTTCTACTATACTACTCGCAGAATCCAAGAAAAACTGTTAATATATGTTAGTTTTTTTTTTTATAATTGGATGCAACGGCACCCTACCTTTCATTCAAAACCACCCGGGACTCAGAGAGCCCCTGAATATCGTACATAGTCAAGTTACAAAGCATAGGATCAGCTAACGGAAACATATGGAACCCCAAAGGAACAGTATGACCCTGGCTCGCAAGATAGTCCGCACACTTATTGCCTTCCCTATATATGTGGTTGACTGAGACGTCCCACTGTCTGTGAAGCAGCTCCTGAGCTCTATCCAGGATGGCTACGTGGTGATGCTCACTAAGGTCGGATGTCCGAAGCAGCTGACAGGCACATTCGGAATCCAACTCTAGTATAACGCGCCGGTACCCAGCATCCCAAGCTAACTGCAGCCCTTCAACAGCGCCCCTCAACTCTGCCCGGGTGATAGAGTAAATGCCAAAAGGCATCTGCCAGTGTTATCTCTTAACAGGCCACCAGCTGCGGCATGGCCTGTATTCGTATGAACGGAGCCATCAGTGTTGAGGGTTACCCACTCTGGAGGTGGTGGCTTCCACGAGATATCCACCTCCGTTCTCATGGGCGGATTATGCATATGAATGAGCCTGTCCTTGTCCAAGGCAGTTATCCAAGCTTGGACGCGCTGAAGAAAGGTTGCAGTAGTCGTGATCTTGCCTGCAAAGACTCGATCATTCCTGGTCTTCCAGAGAGACCAGCAGGTAAGGCCAAAGTCAAGGCCAGTGTGCTCACTTCGGAGGTTGCGCTCGATCCAATCCTGCAGATTAGCTCCAAAGAACCGGTGGTGTTCAGAAGGTGGGATTAGTTGCATCCAAGTTAACCTGGCAAAATCACAGTCCCGCAACACATGCAGGACTGTCTCCTCATCACAGCCGCAAGCTCCGCATCCTGTTGACGTGGTGAGTTTCCTCCTGGCGCGCTCGCTGTTTGTGAGGAGCCTTTCCCTCATGGCCAGCCATAAGAAATGCCGAACTCGCTCTGGTCCCCGCCACTTCCAAATCTCCTTCCACTTGGCGGCGTCGTCTTTGTCGGAGCAGTCCGTCGCAAGGGAATAGGCTGTACGCACAGAGAACTGACCATTCACTTCCAGTCCCCAAGTTGGAACGTCCTCACCAGCGCCCTCCACCGGTGGCTGAACTCCTGCAATCTTCAAAAGCAACTCATCGGGTAAGAATTGAGAGAGGTTATTGAGGTCCCACTTACCATTATCCTCAAACGCGGTCACAGGAGTGCAAGGATCGATCGGGGGAGAGTCTTCCTTCAGATAGTCCATCAACACAACACCCGTCTCCACCCATTGATCCGTCCACATGCTAGTGCTCATCCCATCCTTCGGGCGCATAAGAGTTCCCAGTTTTGTCACCGGCCAAGCTCTGCGCATCCCTCTGCACAGGTTGGAGGATCTGGCCGACGATTTAGCTACTAGGACGCCATTAACTGTTTTGAAATACTTCGACTGGAGCACCTGCACCCACAACTCATCCGGCTTTTTAGTGAATAACCACACTAGCTTAGCAAGGAAAGCTAGGTTCAGCTCGTGCGCCTTCCTAAATCCGAGGCCGCCCTCTTTCTTCGTTTGGCACACCCCTTCCCAGTGGACTAGATGGATTTTCCTGCTATCTCCTGTGGAGCCCCAAATAAACTTCCGGACACGTCGGTCGATTTTGTCACAGATCGAGATTGGGAGGAGTGTCGTCTGCATAGCATAAGTAGGCAGTGAGCTCAGCACTGACCTCGCCAGGGTCACTCTACTTGCAAACGACAAGCTAGAAGCCTTCCACCCTGCAAGTTTGTTATCCAGGCGATCCAAAATATTATAAGTTTGTTTCGTTACCCGCCCATGCTACACAGGGACACCAAGATACCTTCCCAGATCCTGCGTCTGTGGTATTCCCATCCTGTTTGCTATCACAGTGCTTCTTTGCCTGGTGGTGTTGGCCGAGAAGAATACTACTGACTTCTCCTTGCTGACTTGCTGTCCAGACGCCTGGCAAAACCTGTCCAGAACTTCCATGAGAACCTCTCCTTGCTCCTCACTGGCCTCAGCAAATAGCACTAGGTCGTCGGCAAAGAAAACATGGGAGAGAGCTGGTCCGCCCGGGGAGATGCGAATGGGTTTCCATCTTCCCTTCTCGATCGCCTCCTGGATTGTGTGACTTAATCGCTCCATGCAGAGAGTGAAGAGGTAAGGAGAAAGCGGACAATATGTTAGTTGATAAGGATTTAACTCACTTCCCTCGTAAGTTCAAATTCTCTTAGACCAACTCCAATGCAAGACCCCAAATTTGGGGACCTTCATCCCCAAATTTGGGGATTGCCCCCATTCTTCACAATTTGGCTCCAATGCTACCAACCTCAAATTTGGGGATCTTCATTTTATCCATGTTTACATTTACTTAAAAATGCACTTATCGAAGCCTTAATATTATTCGTTAATCTTAATTTTTGTATAGTTCGTCATTATTTTAAGATACAAATTTTCCGATAGAATTTTTTCAAATTTCGACACCGAATTTTTTTGGCAAAAAAATTATGGACCTAATTTTGGTTTACACACAACACTTGAAAATGATAAAGCTAAAGGAGTTAACATAATAATTTAAATGATACAACTTAGAGATTACACGCAACACTTGCTTCGTCAGGACTTGGTTGAGCATATTTGGAACTTGCATGGAAATAATTAGTTATTGTTGTTGCTTAGTATTGATGTTGGGATGCTTTGTAATTCAATTTAAGTTGTAGTTGGTGACAATTTGATTTGTAGTTCAAGAACGTATTTTCAATTCAATAATATATTTTCCATTCTTAGTTAGAATTATTTTTTGTGTACACAATTTCTAGATAATAAGCATAATTTTAAATAAAATGAATTCAATTTAAATCATCTTAGGAAATAAAATAAATTAACCAAACTATTAAACACAAATTAAATAGAAAACCTTCACTTAATTAATACAAACATGAATTCACTAACCTTCACTTATTAATTATATAACCATCATTAATAAACACTTAATAAAAAATTAAAAAAAATAAATAAGGGCGAAACAACCGCCAGGGACGGGCGGTTGTCCTGTCCCACCCCAATCTGCTCCCCCATCACCCCCATTATTGCCGACTCCCCCATTTCCTCCTCTATATTTGGAGACCCAAATGGAGGCCACCCCCATTAATGGAGTTTATTCCTTTTTTGCAGGCTGCATTGGAGAGCTTCCTCCTCCATTTATGAAGGCTCCCCCATTTATGGGGGCAGCATTGGAGTCAGCCTTAGTGTAGATTTTATTTAGTTCCCTCATTTAGATTTCTGGCTTCGTCAGTGTTGGGAACGTTTTTTCTAGCGACAATTAGTGTCATGGAAAGTTTGACGATGTACTTACTGTCATAAACCAGTTGGTCCCAATAACTCGAGTTTTTTGGAGAAGGTTATGTTGGATCTTATACTACATTCTTATACGCCCCCTCAAACGAAAGCCAACCATGGGTTTGAAGTTTGCATAGGCGATCACCATACCTTGTGCTTTAATCAACTGTAAATATTGAAGGTCGTGGAGATTCGAACACACGACCACTTGGTCAAACCAGCTCTGATACCATGTCATAAACCAGTTGCTCCCAATAACTCGAATTTTTGGAAGAAGGTTATGCTGGATCTTATATCACACTCTTACACTTACCACTTATCCATCTTGTCACAAGGTAGAATGGATTAATGCAAAAATTAAAGGATAAACACTAATTGTTAGCTAAATCTTTCCCGCGTTATTTTTTATTAGCAAAATGGTTAATACCTTATTTTGGTCCAAACTATACCAAAGTTTCTACTTTTGCCCGTGGTTTCTGAAATTGCTCATCTGGCATGAACTATGCACCATACTTACTTGCTTGGCCCGACGCGAAATTTTGATAGTTAAATTGGACGGTCAACTCCATTAACCATTAGTCAAGCGCCATATCACTTGCCATGTCAGCAAACCCGAAATAAAAAATTTTGGATTTGTAATTTATTTCATTTATATTTCATTTTCTAATAACAATAATAATCAACAAAAAATACAACTAAAAAATTTGGATAACAAAATATAATTCCAAAAATTCCAAATTTCACAATTTTATTTTGGGTTTGCTGACGTGGCAAGTGACCTGGCGCTTGACTAACGATTAATGAAGTTGACTGTCTAATTTGACGGTCAAAACCCGCGTCGGACGAAGTAAGAAAGTATGGTGCATAGTTCGGGCCAGGGAAGCAATTTCAGAAACCACGAGCCAAAGTAGAAAGTTTGGATATAGTTTGGGCCAAAATAAGGTATTAACCCTTAACAAAACCTATTGAATTAATAATAATAAGCCAAATGTTAACTTCTAGTTAGCAATTTTGTTAGTGATATTGACTTGACAACATGATACTGACTTATAAGTGACACATGGAAGACAACATTCCAAAACTTTAGTATTTTAAATAAGAAAAGAGTTACAAAAGTTGTTAGTGTTAACGTAAAAATGACTAGTATTTTGATATATTACAAAATATTTAACTAATTATTAATAATTTGATAGATTTGACTAATAAAAAAGAATCCAATAAAGGTTTACTAATCCAGCACATACAAAAAAAAATTTACAACTACGATCGTCGAGTGTAAAGTACTCGAAACGTCAATTTTTTAAAATACATCATTTTTAGTCTCCACCAAAATCCTCTCGCCAACTTGTAGTCTGTTTGATTGTGCAAAACCTGATCCAACTCTGGATTTTAAGTTATCCTCTCCCGTATCGTTTGGAACGCAGAGAAAAGTGAATGTGATGTGTCGGCAGGAAAGCAAATTAATTTACGTGCAGAAAACTGAAAAGAGTGATAAAGAAGGGTTAATTGCACGGGCTGTCACTTAAGTCTACTATTTGTTGCACGGTGACCACCTAAGTGCGTTTTGTTGCACGGTGACCACTTACGTCAAATAAATGTAGCAGCGTCACCATTTCCGTCACTTTAACTAACGGCAGGTACCAAAACATAATTTTCCATGCCATGTCAACTTACCACGTCAGCTAGAAACGTTGAGTCAGACTTGGCCCATATTAATATATTTCATAATTAATGCTTGACTAAACTGACATCTATGTATGGGTATATAAGTAGCCTTTCAAAATCGAGGTCTTGTAGAGTTAAGATAATCTGAAACTTGCTATAATATGGGCTTATGCTGTTGATGATTTTGTGTTTGTTGTTTTTTTTTCCCCAAAGATTTTGTGTTTGTTGTTACTTGCTGAACAAAGGAAGCACTGAAATATATGATTATGATATGGAATCAAACTAATAAAGTGAAATAGAATCCTCATCCATTAGAAGTAAAGCAGGCATCTCACTAGGATGCAACAACCAGCCATAATGGAAACCAAACAAAGTTGTCCTGCTGGTACATAATCAATGAAGGAACAAAGTTGTGTTTGTTGTTACTCAACAGAGGGAGCAATGAAATAAGATTTTGTCCTGCTGAAAACCAAAATAAGCTGCTGCAACTAAAAACGTCATAACCTCAGCTTAACAAAAGTAGGATTATATCCTGCTGGAAACCAAAAAAAGTTGCAGGTACATAAACAACAAAACTTCATAGCCATGTTCTTGTGTTGTAGGTCCATTTAACTTCGTGTTGCAGGATCTCTCCCCTCTCCTTGTGCAGCAGCTCCACGTGATGCAGAAGGCACGTACGGCCTCCCCTCTCCTTGGGCAAAGCAGGATTGATGTCCCTCCAACATCTAAACATGAGATGAGAAATATTCGGTTCATTAAAATCATATACATAATCTCAAATAAAGTTATTGGTTGCCTCAATCGTAAAGAGTTAACTGAAATATCACCTGAGATTGACTACTTTGATGTGATGGAAAAGAAGTTGAGCTGAAACTTTGGCTTAAGGGATGCATAGGACGAGTCCGGCTACTTCCCTGTTGACTTACAATCAATTAGAGTTCTCTCACGGTACAAACAACATAACAATTGAAGAACCAGCTAACCGTACATCAGGCATCCACTGTAAAATAACACCACCCGTTGATGATCTTTGGGTAGACTGTGCTGCTGCTTGTGCTCGACCTGCTGCTTTGTGTACTGCTGCTTGATGTGTTGATGCTGCGTGTGAACTAGTAGCACCAGCACAAGAATTTCCACCATCTGATGCAGAACCTGTCCCTGAGCTTCGTCCGTTGTTACCTTTAGAATGAAATGACTTATTATGTCCAGGTTGCTTACATTCACTACAGCAAATGGTACCCCCCTTGCCCTTTCTACTCATCCTCTCGTTTCCATCTCTGAACTTACGTTTCTGTTTTGCAGGACCTGATGTCTCCTCAATGCCCTTTCTCCTTTTTGTTTGTCGCCTTCCTCGTTTTTTTGTTTCTTCCGAACTCACATATGGTGGCAGCACATGCTCTCTTCCACTCGGTAACCATGATTCTGGCCCAACCATTGGCTCCACATAACCACTATAGGTTTTGATGTAGCTAGCAACTTCATAACACTTGTCAACGTAATTCTCAACCCTCTTCGAACTTTGCCATATGCAACGAATGGCGTGAGGACAAGGTAATCCTGTCAATTCCCACCTTCTACAAGTACATTTGGACTTGCTCAAATCAACCACAAGCTGACCTTGTGGACATGAAACTTGGAATTTTTGTGCACCACTCTGGATGGCAGTACAATTAAAACTAGCTTTCTGAGCCGAGTTGAGCTTATCCTGGATTTGAGGGCAGAACCGACCTTTGAATTTCAACTCAGCCCTCTCCTTCCTTGCACGAAATCTACGCATCAAAATATTCCTGATGGTCTCAAACATGCTTATGATTGGTTTGGTTCTAGCTCCTAGAAGGGAACTGTTCCAACTCTCAACGATGTTGTTTGTCAACAAATCTGACTTACAATATGGTTGGAAATGTGACCTAGACCATTGTGAAAATGGCTTATCCATCAACCACCTAAAAGCTTTTTCATCATGGTCTTTAAATTCAGTCAAGCACCTTTTAAATTCTGAATCATAGCTTGATCTAGCAGCATTCCACAGTAGGTCTCTGGTTTTTTTGTTACCTCCTTGTGCTCTAAATAGATTTGCAACAAGATGTCTGACGCAGCATCGATGCTCTGCATATGGAACTACACTCTCCAAGGCATTCAACAGACCCTGCAGGCAAAGTTCACATAAATAACCATGACAAGCTGCAGCATAATGTACATAAAACCAAAATGCAATTTTTAGATGAAACTTACTTTTTGCTTATCTGACATGAATGTCCAACTTCCAGGATCTTGAAATATGTTTACATCACTGCATAGTTGCTTTAAAAACCAAGTCCAGTTGTCTTCATTCTCAACACTCACTACAGCATATGCTATAGGGAAACTCCCACCATTTCCATCTAAGCAAACAGCAGATAACAATTGCCCCCCATGTTCTGTCTTTAGAAAACATCCATCAAGAAGAATTATCTTCCTACAAGAAGCAACCCCCTGCTTACAAGGCTCCAAACAACAGTACATTCTCTTGAACTCGTTGGAGTCCTCACATGTTTGCACATAGCAGGTTGAACCAGGACTCGTCCTTCGCACTTGAGCGCAATAATCCTGCAACATGCGATACTGCTTATTTGCATTGCCACTTATAAGACTCTTCGCAGTACGCCTTATTCTCCATGCTGTCCACCTTGAAATGGTCCAATTGTAGTCCTCTGCAACCGTTTGTATGATTGATTCGGTCCCCCAATTTGGATCTGCCTGAAACCTCTGCAGATACCTCCGAGCAATGAAATTAGCATCCCCAAACTTGTTCTTGAACACCATGATACACCCCTCATGTTTCAGGCAACATGTCCTGATTTGGACCGCCTTTCCATCATTCGTCGGTCCTACCCATATGTTCCATGGACAACCAGGTTGGCAGACAACTTGAACTCTTTGTTTGTCGCTATGTTGAAACTTGAGAGGTTGCTTGCTGTTAATCGAGTAGTTCTTGATTGCGTCCTTGAATGTATTGAAGTCTCTGAATATTTGGTGCAGACAAAATTGAGGATTACTCATTTCTTTTTCTGGATTGAATTGAGGGTATATTACACGATATGGAACCCCTTCTTCTTCATCTGAGTGGACACTTTCCAGGTTGTCAGAATCATACAACTCATCATCAAAATTGCCATCAACTGTGTCATCGATATAAATATCAAGGCTGCCAGCTTCCAAATCATTGTTCGGCCCCTCCCTATCATCCTCACTTGCATCTGTATGTGGGTCCTCAATACCCTCCATTCTATAATCAATATTAATAGAATCTGTATCTCTGTTGCCCCTTTCTCTATCACCATTATCATCTTGATGTTCAGCTCCCAAATCTAGACTTTGATTGCTTGATTTTCCCCTCTGTTCTGCTTCTTTTCTAGCCTTCCTTAACTCTTCTTTGTTTATTAGATACACCTCCACAAACTTGGCATTTTCAACTGTCTTCACTGCCATGTCCAGAATATCTTTATCACACACCAACTCTTGTAGCCCTTCTTTTAATCGTTCTCCCGGTTGTCTCCAATAATATGCACATTCATGTGTTGTTCTCAACTCCGCCACCATGTTGGCACTTTCATAGTGACCGAGCTCAACAAGATATAGATCAAGTTCGAACATAGATAAGCAATCCGGATCAATCCAATCTAGGTATTTAACTTCACCTCTTAGATAGCTTATGTCTTCGTCAAACACATACATCATCTCGCCTTTATAATGGAGTTCAATTGTGAAATAGTCATCGCTAACTCCTAACATAACAACAAACATCTTGTAAACAAATGTGCTAAAAGAATACAACAGCTGCAAGAAAAATTGCAGCAACAATGAAAAACCATAACTCACCATAAGTTGGTATATGATCAAGCTCTCCAACTTCCCTAATGGTTGGTTGCATTTTCTAATAGATTATAATAGACTCTGCATATACACGAAGAAAGAAAATCATAACAGGGGAATAGAGAAAGAATGAATAACTTAAGAATGCATATAGTGCAGGGGTACGGGTTAGATTACCACACTAGAAACAAATAAACCTTCAACGTCTATGGAAACTTTTACGCCTCAGCCGATTCAACGCTACCAAGACTTGTTGGTTGCTTCATTCTTTGGAGAAAGAAAGGTCTACGCCGCTGCCGCCTCTGCTGCTTGCGATTTGGAGAAGAGGAAAGTTGAACAGCCGCTGCCGCTGGGAAGAGATTTTTTTGCCCGTAAATTGCTTAGCAAGTAAGAGGCCCATTCTATTTAGTGGGCCAGGTCCGACTCAGCGTTTCTAGCTGACGTGGTAAGTTGACATGGCATGGAAAATTATGTTTCAGTACTTGCCGTTAGTTAAAGTGACGGAAATGGTGACGCTGCTACATTTATTTGACGTAAGTGGTCACCGTGCAACAAAACGCACATAGGTGGTCACCGTGCAACAAATAGTAGACTTAAGTGACAAACGGTGCAATTAACCCGATAAAGAACATATATCATACAAATACAAAAAGCATAATAATGATAAATTGAAAACCAACCGCACTAATAAAACATCATCATGAAACTTATTTATTACCACCAACATTAATGAGGAGATCAATGATTCCCAAAACGACATCGCAAATCCGCCTCAACCCATCCTCCCTCCGTCCAAGCTCCGGCGGGTAAACCAACAACCCACTGTACCTCCGGAACGCGTTGTGACACGCGCTCGGGTAATCTGCCGCCGCCATCACATGCATGGAGGCGTAATCGTACTCTTCCATCCCGACGTCGTCCACCGCACCCTGAAGCGCGCCGCCGGCGTACGTGTACTTGTCCGCGCACTCCTTCAGCACGGCCCTCTTCAGAACGGCGGCGTTTCGGGACCCGTTTTTGGTCGCGGTCGTCGAGGCGGCGGCAGCGGGCAGCTGCGAGGTTAAGTAGGAGGAGGTGGAGGTGGCGTTGGCCGTCCCGATGCCGATCATGATGAGAGCGAGTCCCTTGACGTCGGCGGTGGAGCTGGTGGTGTTGGATTTGAGGGAGGAGAGGCAGAGGTCGTAGTGCTTGGTGGTTTTGCAGGTGGTTTCGATCAGGGTTGTGTCGGCGCCGGCGAGGGTTAGAGGGTGGTGGCGGCGGTGGGGGAAAGGGGTGAGGGAGAGGAGGAGGAGGAGGAAGAACAGGTTGGCGAAATCCATTGATGAGAGGAGAGTTAAAAAAAAAAAAAGTGGAACTGTTGGCAATGTACGCTTTGAGTAGCGAACTTCTTTTTTATACGTAGGAAAAAAGTGAGGTCAAAGGAGATAGATGGTTAATGGTTGAGAAGAGTATTCATTAGGGCTGGGAATCCAGACCAAACCGTATAGAAAACCGCGGTCTAGACCGTATCGTATGGTTTGGTCTGGACCGTGAGACCAGAACTATGGTCTGGTTTGGTTTGCGGTCTCCTTCTTTAGTGCGTGGTCTGAAGTGGTCTGGACTGCGGTCTACCGCAGTAAACCGTAACAGACCGCGACACACTACCTACTACCTTGGACAAAAATAAGGTCTGGTCTGGATCGTATAGTATATGGTCTGGTCCATGGTCTGTGTTCCAACCTCTCGGTCTGGACCGCAGACCGTATCTATGGTCTGGTCTGGACCGGACCGAACCGTTTCCCACCCCTAGTATTCATATGTAATGACACAAGTTTTAAGTTAACAAAAAATATAATATTATATAAAAAGATACCCTTATCTAAAAAAAAGTCTACTCATTGTTTACAAGTACAACATATATGTCAATTACAACTTTTAAATTTGTGAGAGAGATCTTTATCAAATTTTGATAATAACCAAACATAAAATTTTCATCGAATTCTTGAATGGAGGTCGTATGCTTTTTGAGACACAACTCCTTAATCGAAATCGACTCCAGCTCATACCCGTTCCGATCCATCTACAAATGAATATTACCCGTCCAAAATAAATCAAACAAATTGAGTAAGGGTGCGTTTGGATAAGTGTATTTTAAATGTAAGGTATTTGAAATACTAGCATTTGAAATAGATGTATTTGAAGTATTAGCATTTGAAATACATGTAATTCAAATTCATTGTTTGGATACTCATTTGTAATTTGTTTGTATTTTTGTATTTATGATTTTCAATTTCAATTTTTAATTTTCTGGTCACTTACTACAAATTTTGGTAATTTACAGTTTGGTACCCAAAATTATTTTTTCTTACAATTTAGTACCTAAAATTTTACAAAAAGGTCCTGAAATTTTGATGGTAAAATTACATTTTGGTACCTTTATATGTTTTTCCTCACACTATAGTACCTAAACTTTTCATATTTTACAAATAGGTCCATTCTTTTGTTAGGAGGTATTTCAAATCACTAGTTGTTGAAATGTATTTGAAGTTGACAAAAAATACACTAGACATGTATTTGGAAATCACCCCATGAATTTGACACAAATCCAAATACCAAATGTAATTAATATCCAAACACATGATTTGATATTTGGAAATCCAAATCACAAATACCAAATCCAAATCATTGTATCCAAACGCACCCTAACACGACTCACGAGTCATGTCCTCGTCTCCTACTCATTGCCGTGAAAGTAAAAAAGGGAGAAGAATTAATGGACGGTACTTGGGAATCCAAATAATGTTGTTTCTTTGGTTTCTGTCTTTGTTTAGTGACAGATAATGCCAATAATCTCTATTCGGGTCTTGTGAGTTGCCGCTGCTTAGGGATGGCAATTTCGATCTGACATGTTTTACCCGACCTGTTTAGCCTGTTTTGAGGTGGGTCTGACCTGTTCCATAGGCGGGGCGGGGCGGGCATGGGTACCTCTCATCGACCCGACCTGCCCTGACCCGACCCATTCTCGACTCGTTCTTCCCTAAATTACATGCAATCTTAGTCAAATTACTTACAGTTTTCCTCTTATTACCTCATATTTTAGCTATAATAAAGTTTTAAATAAGTGAAAACCTCAAATTTTCAAATAATTTAACTACATTTTATCATATTATGATTTCTTTCTTGGGATTTTAATAAAAATAACAAATATTTCTAATGCTTTTATATACCCATTGAGTCAACCTGTCCCGACCCATGCCTCGTAATAAAATACCCGACCTGCCACGGAACGAATATGAGTATCAAGATACCGCCCCAAACCTGCGGCATTGCCATTCCTACGCGCTGCCCGGTGCAAATTCATTGAAATGAGAAGCGTCGTTTTGTTTTGTTTGGAGCTGGGCGCCACATGCAGCATTGAAAAGAGCCTATAATGAGTAGATCAGTACGGGCCTACTGGGCTGCTGCTATAGCATTACTGTCTGGTCGTGGGTGGAAGTTACCAAAACGACAAATGCAAAAGGGTCACGGGTTCTGCCAATGCCATCACGACAATTATTTGATCCGTTTGTTGGATTTTTGTGGACCAGCAGCCAGCCAGCCAGCTTGGATCTAAAAGCCCATAAGCCCAACCAGTTCTTTCTCTCGGATCTCTCTCCTCTCTATCCATAAAAATCTTCAACTATATCTTCAAAATCTCAATCACAGCTTTACATTCTGTTCTACGATATGGTGAGCTTCCTAAAGTTCGTTGTCACACTCGATAATAATGATTTCTTCGACCGGCTGGTTGTCGAGATAAAGTCAATTGAGTGAGGAGCGATCACTATAGGTTAATTTTTGGATTTCAATACTCGTTGAGACATTATTAATTCTCAAGATTACCAATATGTGCAGCTGAAAGTTTAGATCGTTAGATGGCAGAATCCAACAATGTCAGATTCATGTTGATAATAATCACCCATCAACATGCGATAAACAATATTACGATAATAATTTTGTTATCTTTCAAGATCAAGACAAAATCGAGCGAGTGAGAATGTCATTGGAGATTGATCCTTGCTATGAATTGATTCCAGATAGACTCTTATCACCAATGTTTAAAACAAAGAACAAATGTGATTTGTGTTAATGAAACTTTATTGAATCATTACGTCCACTATATATGCGCGAATACAACCTCAAATCAAGATGCAAGTTGTTAATTAGTTACAGCCTACAGGTTAATAGCAGTAAGCGATCAGGATCTAAGAAACCAAAATAGTTAGTGAGATAATGAGACTCTAAAAGCTCAGAGATCAACTTCTTCTTGATCATCCTCGAAACTCTTCACCGTGGAAATTGCATTGCATGTATACCAAGGATTTTGCTAAAGCCGCGGGAGTCTGTTAGAAATCGATGTTGGTGGTAGAGTGGGCATGCATGTTATGCATGTCGATGGTTAATCCGTGATTTGAGATCGATTCAGCTATAAATAATCCGAATCGTAGTTGATGGGTGATTGATGTAGGTGGATTGTAGATTGATAAATCTTATGTTCGTACTTATTCGGGTGGGTGGTGGGTGGATTGTGGGTTACACAAATGACTCGCACCATATTTTCACGCATGATAAGAAGAGTTTCTTATATTATCGAATAGTTATCATAGTTTCTGACCACACTACACACTGACCATCTACTTCTAAATGTGTAGAATAAAGAATATCTTTTGAATTACTATATGTCGTGAAATATCCATTAGATATTGAGATCAAATTATTAACTATTAATTGTATCAGAGTCGCAAAATTTGATGCAAATACTATATGGATCCATAAGAGACACAGTAAGAAATGTCTAAATTGATACAGTCTTACCAATTTGAGAAGAACTTATTATAAATGTTAGTCAATTTTTTTAATAAATAGTTTGGAAATTGTTTTTGCCAGTTAAACTACAACTCAACCACACTCATCCATCATTCACCAATCCAAGTCGAAGAAAAATGTAGCTGGATCACATGCCATAATTATACCTACTTATTATTAAGCGGGTGGGTCATGCGCTCCATAGCCATTGGGTGAACAACAAGTAGGGGTGATAATCGGTTGCCGGTTATCCGGCTTAACCGAACAACCGAACCGAACCGTCAGTTTATAACCGAAACCGATAACCGATAAGCTGCTGCGGTCTCAGTTGCGGTTGGCTGATTTTGGCCTTTACGCTAACCGGAAACTGTCGGTTACAAACCGAATTACTTTCGGTGCATCGCTAAAACCGGCGATTCCTCTCCCCCTCTTTTGTATCGCCAATTCGCCTTCCACTACAGACCTCTCCCTCTCTTCCTTCTCCAAACATGTCCCTCTCCCTTCCTCTACTTCGCCATACCCAACTCTTTCCTTCCCCAGACCTCTCCCTCTCCCTTCCTTCTCGAAACATCTCCCTCTCCCTTCTTCTACCTCGCCATCCCCAACTCCTTCCTTCCTCTAACTCGTCGCCCCCTCGCTCCGCCTCCCAATCTAGAGGTCGATTTCGAAGCGGCGATGGTCGTTGCTCCACCTCCGCCTTGCATGTTTCGAGCGGCAACGGATTCAGATCCACGCCTCTGCCTCTCCCGCCGATCAAGAACTCCGACCATGTATGCTCGTCGTCGCTCCTCCTCTGCCTTCGGCGACGGATTTAGATCCAAATCCTCCTCTCGACACTCTCTCCTCTTCCTCCCTAATCTACCTCGATTCGCGGACTCAGATTCGGATTTGACAGCCATGTATGCTCGTCGTCGCCTGTCATCTACCTCCGACAGGGCTCTCTTCTTCCTCTGCCGATGGTTCAAAATTGGGATTTTTCGGTGACATGCATAGCGATGGTGGTGGTCGGAGGTGGTGTTCGTCGGTCTCTGAATAACCGTCGTTGAAACCGAAACCGACGGTTGCGGTTTTCGGCTAACCGATGGTGCCGTCGGTCGCGGTTGCGGTTACCGATTTTGCCTCTTTCTCGGTGTCGGCTAACCGCCTTTGCGGTTCAGTTAAAACCGAAACCGCACCGCTAACAGGCCTAACAACAAGTACATCCACAACTAAATAACGCTGGATCACATCATCTAACCATGTCAGGCCCAAATACGGGCCCATCAAACTGCAATGAACCGGCCTATACAATAAAGCCCAAAACCATAATTTAGGGTAATAATTTCTGATGCATGATTGCGGACCAAATAAATTGCAAGCACGGCCATCTGCATGCCCGCGTGATCTCTGACTTTTTCCGGAACTCAGGACGTCATTTCTTGAGATGTTAGATTAGTTTACTCAGTCCAGCTAAATGGTTACGACGTTTCCACATTAACTATTTGGGAGTCAATCC